ATTATAAAACCTTTAGTAAACGGAATAAGTATTCATCGATTTAATTTGATTTTTGAAGAGAATAGAACCTATAGAATTGGACTGAAAACTATGAAAGAAGTAGTAATAATTGATGTAAAGAGAGATTCGTCATTAATTCCTATTGTTGGTGAAACTTGGATTAAAAATGAAGAAATGTCAATTCCAAAGTCTCGGTGTCTGGCAGATTCTGAAAATAACCAAATTCGTATCGAACATAAATTAAGATTTGATATTACATTTCAAATTGAAGGTAAAGATTATTATGAAGTTACAGCAAGTTTACCTGTCATAATTACTTCATGTCCAAATCCAATTGATACTACTATGTTTGATACACTTCCTACCTACAATAGCTATTATTTTGACAGAGAAATCGACGAAGATTTGCCTTCTTCAATACCTTCCGATAGTAATACTATAACTCCCAGAGACAATAATTTATATAATAATTTATCATCCAGTAGTAATAATAATTTACCTTCATACGATAGCACGATATATTTAATTCCTTTATCAATTAGTGATTATATTTTACCACCAGCTTATGGCACCATTTAATATACTGTTCATTAAACAAATATAAATTAAATGCATATGTAATTTGTAATTCCGGCGTCTTTCTTATCATTACCATCATTAACAAAATAAAATATTGTTTACAAGACTATTAATTTTTCGTTCAAAATTTTTTTTAAAAAAGTTGTGCGATAAAGATAAATGAGAGGTATAAAACCAACCAAAATTAGAGTTAGGTTTGCAGAATTTGGAAGGAACTACATGGGCTGTTTTTATAATTCTGGTCAATTCTCGACTGACTCTGTGTGTCAAAAATCGATTATATTCACAGAACAATTCTTTGGCTATTTGGCAGATTTATCCGACTAATACTTTTCGTATTTAATTTGTGATATACATACATACTTTCGTAACCATTTTGATTATATCATTTTTACGCAAAAATTTTAAATATTACGTGAAAAAAAAGATTGATTTATTTCATGATATTATTATTGGAATTAAATTATTTCATAATGAGAAAATTATGACAATATTCTTATTATCACGATGAAAGTTTCTATTTCTGATTTATGATCTAGTCAACGAGTAACTATTAACTCGAAAAGAAACCTCGAATATACATATGGAGTAATTCCTTATATGGCGTCAGAACTTTTTAAGGGTGAATCACTAAATATATAACGGAATGTTGGGAAATTTTAATGAAAAATGTTGGCATCTGAATCCTTCTCAACGACCAACAATAGATGAAATTTATCAATTATTTTTAGATTTTAAATTTATTGTTATCATCAAAAAAAATTATCCAATCTGAATTTAAAATTTCACAATTAAGACATCCGTGCTTTAGTTTAATATTATTTTTTAACATTTGAAATTACAATTTCATTTCGATAGGAATATTCAACTGCACTTTGTCCATACTTTAATCCTCCTTTAGCTGATGTCAGAAATCCCTGAAATGCTTTCTCTTCATCATTTTTAGAGGGAATGCATTTATAGAGAGTAATTTTATAAGTTTTACTAGTATATGGGAGCATAGGGTGCATTTAAAGTTGGAATGCACTTTCAATGTTCATTTTCAATTAAGTTTAAATATAATATGTTTTAGCATTCTCGAAGTTTATAAAGTAATATCTAAGTTACCATCAAATTTAGTTTATAAATAGTTTTTATTCTCTTTTTTTTTTCTGTTTTGCATATTAATTCAAAGTACCAGATAGAATCTTCTATTTTCAAATAGAGAAATTACTTATGTCAAATTTGTGATGGGATTACTAATTCTTGATTATATAAGAAACCAGCCAATATATAATTTTTTATATTATAAGAAATGATAAGTTATAATAAAATATTGTCTTTAGTAAAATAAGAAAGAATAAATATTGTGCAAACTTTTTTTTTTAATCTTTGATAAAATATCTTACCTATTATTTTCGTTTTTCTATTCATCAATTCAAAGAAATCAAATAAGTAATACAAAAAAAGAGAAATCATGTAAGTGATATTTAAGAATTTATCATAAGAATCCATCCCAAGAAAAAAATCTGATAAGAATATATAAAATACAAAAGAATTTATTTATCTTAGTTGAAACCCAAGATATAAAAAATGTACTACTAAAAATATTATTAATTAAAAATTCAAGCTAATAAAATGAATCAGATAAAAGATTGTCTATTTTCAAAAACTGACATATCATAAACAGCAGATTTGTTTTTTTGGCCTCCTCCCATTGTAGTTCCTCTAAAAAATATCTTGACCTATTTTATAATAAAAAATATAGATAATTATTTTTAATAAACAAATAAATAACTTGGTTGTTTTTTTTTCATTACTACTTTCTGAAAATAATTTAAATGAAAGTCCTCTTTCTTTTAGATACCACATAAAAAAGGTACATGCATTGTTAACATATGTATGTATCGTGTTACATCTTCCTTTCTATATAACCCACAAATTGCTATTGCATTATTCATTCCTCCTGTTGTAGGTTGACAAAATGTTTTACCCATTTTTACATCCTCTTCAAATTTGGAAATCTTATCTTCTTTATACATTCTCATAATTTTATATAATCAATAAAATAAAAATCCTCATATTAGAACAAATGGAACCAATACATGCCATAAAGAATTTAAATAAATTGTTAATACTTAAAGTTGTCTACTCGGCATTCTATAATTAAATATATCTCTTTATTTCACATTTTCATAAAGATTATTTAGAAGAGCAATTTCAATTTGTTAAAGTTTTATAATCAATCATATAAAGATAAAAAAAAATAAATAGATACAGGAATTCTAGAATTATAATGCATAATATTAAATCAACATATATGATATTGTGGCGAAGTAATTTCGGATTATCACGGGGATGATAAATGGTAACACAAAGATGATTGTACGAGGATGAAGGATGAAGTACAAAAGATAACGGGTAAAATTTGAATGAAATAAAAGTAGTAGTTTTTCGTAGTCTAACAGAAGATAGAGTCATAGTAGTCTCTTAGACTTCAGTTAATTAATAATTACAGATAGTAACCTGTTGTTAAAAAATACTTTAATTTTAAATTTGTACCTTTTATATTTTAATAAACTTATCTTTTGTGTCGCAATATTGCAAAATATTGTTGATATTGTGTCAACACTTTTACTCCATCTTACTCACTGAGCCTTCAGATTAAAAATAAAGAATTAAAAAGAATTAAAAAGAATTATATTATATTTATTATCTGTTTCAAGATAGGCAAGTTTAGGTCGACGGATTGCTTGACCTACTGGCAGATAGAGCACATTAAAAAATTAGTTTGTGTGAGTGAAATTGTGACAATATAACTAACATTATTTACGTCGATCATATTTTAACAAATAAAATCATACATTTGTAGCACTTTCTTTTTTTGAATTACACAATGGATGTTGTACGCATACGCAACTCTTCTTTCTTACAATTATAAGGTTAGCTGCGTAACATTTGATGCTGCTTGTGTACACCTAGATCAAGGGGTATAGTATATGTAAACTTATAGATATTTATTTTGATTATTTTGATATGGTGTTTATCATGCGATACTATGCTTTAATGGTTAAGTATTGTTTTTTGGATGATCAATTGCCTTGGTGTCTTTTTCAATACAAATTTTTCGTTTTTTCGCGCGTTGAATTTCATGCTGCTTACGTTGCAGCTCTCTTTCATGTTGGCGGTAACTTGCATCTGCTCGTTTGATAGTTTTCTGTTGTTTAAATTTTGACCTATAACTATCTGAAATTATAAACATTTTATTATATTTATCACATTTTTAATGATACGGTCGATCCTGGCCTACAACTATTCGAATGAATTTGTGATATTGGCTAAAAAAAAAAAAATAGGAGATAGCATTTATTTATTAGCTTCATTATTCTATAAAATATAATTTCAATAGACAAAGATTAGATGCAGTGTTTGAGATTCAATGTGCGAATGTAATGATAATAATACCAGTACGACCACGTTTAATTTACAACTGTAAAACATGAAATGTGGAGGGTTGGATGGATTCAACTTTTATGATGTCGCTTATACTAATTTTTAATAATGTAAGCGTAAGAAAATGTCATTATGACTACATTTTTTGATTATCATTATTTGATTTAAATAAGTTTATATACTATTTGTTCCTGTTAATTAATGTGTAATTAATATGTAATATATTATTTTCGAATATGTAATTATTTGCAATAAATTTTATTTAATAAAATAGCCGATTGCGAAAATTGAGACCAATTCTTAGTAAAGTTAATAAAAATATAAAGATAACAACTTATCATTACTAGTTAAAGTTGTTCTTTATTAAACAAAAAATAAAATAACATTAGTAACATCTGAAGTAAAAAGTAAGATGAGTTTTCGTTAAGTAGGGTGATGGGATGATTTTTTCAGTTACCTACTGGTAGTCTAGTTACGCTCAAACTTTATTTATTTAATAAAATATTTTTTTTAAACATAAATATATGTAAAATTTGTACTGAGTATTTTACTTAGAGACCAGAAAGTAGTTGTCTCAATAAAATATTAAGATTTTAAATATTTTATATACATATTTTCGAAGAATTATAATTGGCTAAAACGAACATCACCTGATCGGAAATATATTTGTTTTATTTATATCTATTATTTATAAACTTACAATGTTAAATAGAATATATAAATAATATTGAAGATTCAGATTGTCAAATAAAAAATACCAATTTTTGATTATATTAGGAATAATACAACGTAAACAACAGGAAGCTATCAGAGAGCAGAAATGTAAGCAGCATAAAATTCAACGTGCTAAAAACGGAAAATTTTTATTGATGCATCTTGGTCTATCGATCATCCAAAAAAAAAAAAGTACTTAACACCATTAAAGCATAGCATCGCATGATATCGAAATACTATGCATATTGATCTTGATGTACTGTGGTGGCACGAAAATGTCTGCGGCCATTGAGGGTGGCGAACAGAGGTGGCAGTAGTACTAAGATAGGGCGTGTACTAATATTTGGGTGAAGTACAGAGGTGGTTATTTATTCACCCTCGTGCAACACCTCCAAAAGAAAACGTGTTATGGGTGGTAAAGATAAATAAAAAGAAAGATATATAAAGAAGTAGTGATCGCGCGGCCGCAGATGAGACCTTCAGGAGTGAAAAATGAAGAATTTTTCCTTTTATTATCATAGCATTTTTTTATATAATAATAATAATTTTATCATAATATCTGCTTATAACATTAATAATAGTAATAATTTTGTAGTGTTTCGAACTAATATTAGTAATAATTTTCATAATATTAGTATAGAAGATTAGTGGTAGTCATAGACACAACATCTTGTAATATTTCTACTATTAAGTTTTTATAATAAAATTCATCTACTTAAATAATAAACTCACTTATCTCGCTTAAATAAAATTTGCATCAGTAAACCTACTCTAATTTAAAAGTCATCAAACAAAATATCAACATATACAAAATGAAGTACCATAGATTTGGATTTATTGAACCTTGTGCAATCAAATATAATGGAACAATTAATAAAATTTCATTTATTGATGAAGAAAATTTTTCGTTAAAAGTTGTTACCTCTAAATTGAACAAGAAATCACAAAGAAATTGGAAATCAAACAACAAATTATTGAAGAACGGCAGTTATAATAAATCAAGTAATGAAGATCCAGGTCCTACAAAGATCGATGATCAAAAAGAGTTAATAACCTGGAAAGTGAATTTAAGATAATATTTAATAACCAGGAAACAAGATTTAATAATCTGGAAAATGAATTAAATAATCCCAAATAGTGTCCAAAAATTTTTTAGATATAATATATTAATTCGTGAATCGCCAAAAAAAGTAAAGGTTTTCATGCATTTAAAAAGTTGTAGTATTATCCTTGTTCATTTTGAGATTAGAAATATGTATCTTAATTTTTTATGACCTTAATGTTACTTTTAGAAGATTTTTATGTTATTCATTATTACACCTAAATTCTTTTTACAACGTTTAAATTATTTCTTTCTCACACCTATTACTACATAGCATTGTATAATTTTAATATTAAAATTTAAATAAATATTATTAATTGTTTATATTAATTAAAAAAAAATTCAGTGATATTTTCACAAATAAAGTTAAATACGCGTGTGCCGAATATATTATTTAAAATAAATAAAATGTTGTTTTCATTCTGAAAACATCCTAAAAGAATAAATGATTTTGGAAAATTGGAATCGCATTTTCTCGCCGATCAAATAAATTGTTTACATATGCCCGATCAAAAAAAAAAAAATAAGAAATTGTTTACATGCTTAAGCTAGATGTGTATACAGTATAAACACGAAATTAAATCTATCCATTTGTTTATAATATAAAAGGAAGAAAAATGAATAAAAAAAAAAAAAAAAAAACGATCTTTACGAAATAATTAGTATTTTTTATTTTTACTTTATGGTCCATCCGGTTAATATTATTAGTTTAGTTAATAGAATGAATTAATCATTACGAATTATATAAATATTAATTAAATCAATAAAAATTAATAGGATGCGGAAAAACGATATTAGTTCAAGCATTAGCGTATTAAAGGTATTAAAGGACCATCGATGCATTCAAAATAATTTAGAGAAGCAGAATAAAACAAGAAATTTATTTAAAAACCGATATGAAAATTTCAAACTTATATTAATATTTTTGATGAAATGGATTCTATTGCCGCAAGACGAGGTAAGAAATCTAAACTATTTATATTTTTTATGCTTTTTGTTATCATTATTGTATTATCATTATCATTATTATTATAAAATAATGGGATGGATGTATTAATCGATAGAATTGATGATGTAAACCATTATTATTATTTTTAATAATTTATTTTTTATTTATAATTAAAATAATTGATAATAATAATTAACAATAATAATTAATAATAATTAAAGGTCAAATTGATCAATTATTATGTATATGTACTGTATGTAGGATATCCAACTAAGCACCAACAATTGATATCTTATCACAAAGAATGATAATTAATCAGGATGAAATGAAATTTGACTGATGAATTTGAAAAATTTACTAACAACGACTGATGATAATCTTGAAATTTGTTTAGTATTTATTTATTTTATTTATTTTTTTTTAGATCAACCTGTAGCAAAAATCTTCCGATATCAACAATAACCAATTTACAGTATTAAGTAAAAAAATATTAAAAAAAATTAAAAAATAGGGTTTAGATTTTATAATATACATTTAAATTAAAACTTCTTTAATTATTATATAGTAGTACTGTATTCATGAAAAATATTAATAATTTCAAAGTCTATCTCTAAAGAATTCATTCATCAAATTATAAGTCCGTAACATAAATAAGATAATATTATTAATGTCTTGAAAAATCAAATTAAATTTCATGTAAAATTCAAAAGCACTGATTAAAAAACAATTGATTCTGCATCGATCTAATCTCAAATTTTAACGAAATAATCTACAAAATATTAAACTTTATACAATTTAATTTTACAATTTATTGTCAAGAAAGATATTTGACAAATATTTTTAATAAAATAAATCAATAGTTAATGAAACATAATATTATAGATATATAATAACCTAAAAAAAGATTTATTTCTTCTAGTAATTCTTCTGCATCTGTATTTCCATTTCCGTTTGCTTTATTCAAACAGTATATAGTTATTATTATATCTTTCCTAGTCCATATCCTTCATAAAAGCATTTCCCAAGATAATATTTGCTATCGGTATCATAATTTTCACTTTCGGCAGCTTTTTTATACCATTCAAATGCTTTCACATCAATTCCTGCGCCATATTCATAAAGATTCCCAAATTATATTGTGCAAGAGTGTCCTTTTTTTGGCAGCTTTAAAATACCATTTAAATGCTTCGTTTCTATCTACACCCACACCCATACCATTTACATAATTATAACCAATTTCACATATTGAATCAATATTTCCAACAAAAGCAGATTTCATAAGATATTGTGATCCTTTAGTTTCATCTTTTGCTATTCCTCTTCCATTTTTATGACACCAACCAACATTAAATTGTGCCAAAGGATCGTCTTTCTCTGCAGATTTTAAAAATAATTCATATTCTTTTTTTTTTCATTTTTTACAACACCAAACCCATTATAATAACAATATGCCATAGAATTTAGAGCTACATGGGACCCTTCATCTGAAACTTTAGAATAGATCTTAAACCATTTTTTCGAGTCTCTTCCAAGACTTAGCCCTTCTAAATACATACGCGAGACAATTCCAATTTCTTTGTTAATTTTGTAAAATTTCCTCAATGAGAGATTTGAGGAAATATTCTTCATAAAACTTTTTTCATTGGCAGCTAAACTAAAGAATTTAAATGACATTTCATTATCTATAACAGTACCAATACCATATTGGTAAAAAAATCCTATAAGGCTAGTGAACCAATTATTGGAAGGATAACTAATCATTTTATGTAGTATTTTAACCGAATTCATATTATGTTCTCAAAATATAATATTAAAATTATAAGTTTTAGTTGTTGTGAAATTAACGAGAGGAGGGTTAGAATGAACTTCTTTTTCATCTGACATTCTAAATTAATTTCAGAAAGATCATTCACAACTTAAAAAAAATGTCCGGTCGGGAATTTCCATGGTGTTTCAAACTTTCTATTCCAATTTACATTAACAATTTTAATAATTTACCATGCAAATAATTTAAATAATTTTAAATAATATAAATAATTTGTAAATTCACATCGGTGAAATTCTTTGTATTTAGGAGGAATTCCATGTATACACTTTTCTCTTTTTCCTTTTGCAATAATATTATTTATTAAATCGATACGATTATTATCTGTTGATGATAATGTTGATGATTATTTAGTAAATAATTCCTTTTCAAAAGGAAAAATACCATCACAAGAAATTTCCTAAAGAATAATTTCTAAACTGTAAATATCTAAACTTTTATAATATCTTAAATCAGTATATTGAATTAGGATAGTGTTAACAGAGAAAAGGGGTTTTAATAATTTATGCCAAAATAATTTAGTTAATAATTCCATTATGAACAAGAATACTTTCAGAAGTCTAATTCAAACATTAATTAAGAATTATTAAATTATTATAAAACGATTAATCGGAAATTAATTTATTAATAAAATTTAAATATAAAACAAATAATTACCAATTTTCCGTGAATAATATCATTAGAATGTAAATGCATTAAAGCATTTGCAATTTGTACCTAAATAAAATAAATAATAAAAAATAAATAATAAACTAACTATTAATAATAACAAATAATAGTATTTAACAATTAAACTTACTTCATTTATAAAATTATTCAAAGTAAAATTGTTATTTAAGAAATGTATTTAAGAGCTACTACTTCTGCTACGGTTTTTTTTTTTGTTGAGAAATTATTTTTTTAATATTAGCTTTATAAACATATTTATTAATTATTTTTATATTTTCAAATCTAGAATAATGATAAAGTGGAATATCATTATTACTATTATTACTTGTTTTTCTCTGCGACATTTGGAATATTAAATGAGAAAATAAATAAATAAATAAAAGAACTTTATGGTGAACAGATAATGTATTGTATTACGACAATTGCACCGCATGTCTAGTTATTTGATACATACATTATATAGTAGTTTCGTTTATATAAAATGTAAGTGAATAATGAAATTGGAAATCATTCGTACTTTTTATTTTTAAAATATATAATATTATTATTAGGGCTTGTGTTATATACAGAATTTTTTTGGGATCTAAAATACTTGTTGTCACATTTATGCATCACCCAAGAGAAAAAAAAATTCCTCCAGTTAAATTAGCAATACTCATGTTACAATACAATAATTATGTTCAAAATTTGGAAATTTATAAAGAGACAATGATTTATTTACTTGAAATAAGAAAAGTATAGCATTATCGTACAATGTTCATACGGAAATTTTTTTAGGCATAAATCTCCGTAATATTACGTAAATTTACGTAAAATCGATGTAGGAATTGTTTTTTTTTTTTTTTTTTTTAATTCCAACGGAGTCATGTTTTATTAAACAATTTATTTTGCAGTTGATAAAATTAAACAAATTTATAAGAACTACAAATACATTTAATACAACTGGCTATGGCTAAATTAATAACACAACGGCCC